TAAGACTGAACATGTTACGATTGAAGAAACACTGCTAATGACAGCAGCAGCATCTGTGTATTCACCGAAACTTCACACCTTGATCGGGCACTGTCAACTTTGCCAGATGCAGCAAAGCTGCTAATAATCATGACGTTGCCCACCAAATGTAGCACATTTCGGGAGAGGCGATTAACTGAATATGTCAAGCTCACCATCAAGAACAATAATGGTGCTAAATCAGTGGGCTTCAATAGCACGTCTTACAGAAAGTTGTTGGGAACTGACAAATATATGAATTATCAAACAGCTAGTGATGGAACCAGCTCAAACTAATGGCAACAATGCAGTGATTGCACGAAATAGGATTTCCCAGGAATACTTATTAGAACATGACTGGTAACTGCTTGCTGCAATCACACTGAGTGGATCTCGAGTCAGAAATAGACAAAGTAGATACAAGAATCACTAAAATCAGTGACAGTGGAAATACAAGTGGTTTATAGAATGAAAACATTGAATTATCGATTATGTGGTGCTAAATTACAATACATCAGGAGAATGCATAGACAGACACCAGTTTATGAAATGTCAAGTTTTGATTTATGAACAACACCAATGCAACCTAGCGGTGTACAGAAATAGAGGGAAGGATAAACTGTGGTCGAACCAGAGAGCATGCAATATATGGTAAATAAATGCTGACGAACCGGTCTTTTGAGATCGGGTGCCTCCCCAGGCTGATATTGGTCGGTAGAGGCAGCCGACGTCGTGCGGTTTCTTGCAGTCAGTTGAGTGGTCGAAGAGAGCCTTCGAAGTTTTCGCTTGCCGCTGATACCTTTCATTCCGCCTGCATAACTCGTATCGCTATTTGCTGCTACTGAGAGCAGCCTGTCACCGAAGAATGCCTGCATCAGGTGGTCAGGGTGGATTTCCTCCACATCTGACTTCTTCTTGTTTGCACGTCGCTTCTTGCCGAAGGTGGAAATTGCGGCGTCGAGAGGCCGTCTGGAGCCAGCGGCAACTGCTGCTGCTGGCAATTGTGAGTTCTCTGTCTGGGAAGGGATCATGGAATTCGAAATGGGAATCCTCATCTCTCGAGAAATCAACAGAACGTTTTGGACGGCAGCGTGTTACGAGCACCCAACCGACGCACAGATCGACAACCAAATAATGAAACGTCAACTCAAGAAACTCTGAACTTCCGAACAGTGAAATCAAAGCATTAATCGCGATGTGATCTTGAGTCATATTGGGACCTTCAAAACTGGCTATCTCGAGATCGCTCAACTCAGCACACTGAAACCATGCACGCATCAAATAATGCGAGTTTAAACTGGCCAGAAAATATGCAAATACTCGAACATGCCTGGTACACGCGAGAAGGCCTGGCAAGGAAGCCCCCAACGCCTAGGTTTAGATGACGACTGGCCACCGCGTTGTTTGCCTTTGTCTACTCTAATGCAGAAGGGGCCTCTGGAGCAAACATGTGCTGATAACAGACAGGCGGAAGTCCGAGTGTCAAGGTGAACGATGACGGCATATCCGCTACTGTACTTTGGCATTGATTGTCAGTAGCGCAACGCTTCAGCGTTGTCACTTCATAAAGACAGAATTGGTGAGTACTCAGTCGCACAGAAACCGCAACGCTGGACTCTCCGGCATGAGACTGCGATTCCGAAAACTGTGCAACATAGTGTGGAACTCGGTGCAGGGCTGCATGATTCACGGATGTCGAAGTGCTGTTTACAATTGAAATGGAATTCAGGAGGATTCTGGATTCACCGCTGGCTCCTTGTGTGCCAGTGGACCTCGTGATGCCGTCGCTTCCCTGAGCTTTGGTGGTGCGTCTTCGAAACCATTCATGTCGGAAAGCTTCACGTGGCGTTATCCTGTCCTCGGAGGCCCATTAAAGACACTGAGAGAGAAAATCAAGAAACGCGGCGTCTTTGCGGCCCTTGAGAGCCGTTTTTAATCAGCGAGAGCCCGGTATGTTGCGGGTTTTGGTTCGCACCGTCTTATGCGTCCGCAGGATCACGCGGTTATCCTTACTTACTTCCATGGCAGTAACGAGGACAGCCGTGCGTTGTGGAGAAAAAGTGCTTCATTCGGCGGCTCTGTTCGAGAAGCCTTTGCGGAGGCATTCCAAGAGCATCAAGAATGCAGGCCAGTTGATCGCCTTCATCTTCACCGGGACATAGCGGAGAGCCCTTATGGTCAAAAAGTTGAATGCGAAAAAACGGCGGAATAAGATAAATGCCTGCACTTGTCGAGTTTTTGGAAGACTGACAAACAGGCCTGTGTCCAAAGTCGGCATCAAATGATTTAGGTAAAGCTTTATTGATGGTCCACCAAAATTTCCACATATCACTCTGTCAAAACTTGTGTGTGGTTCATTAGCACCACGCCTTCAACAGACCTGGTGTGGGTTGACCTTTTGGACAGGGGTTATTGTCAACAAACAATTCGTTTCCGAGTTTAGACGACAAATCTGCCTTCTTTTCTATGTCAATATAGCTTACAAAATTATGCACTCTACTTTCACGTGACTTGGTAATTTCCGTTTTCGCCTAGAATAAAGACAGGATCTTTTATTCTAAAAAAGTTTACTGGCCATCGAAGAACTGTGGGAAACACCTGATGTTGCCTTCGTTGAAAGGGATTATGTCTTCCATGAGTAGGAAATATTCGACAAGGGCACTTTTCAATCTATGAGTCCTTATTTGTGCATTTTCTTGCACAGCAGGCATTAAAACTAAGCCATAAATTTACGGATTTATTGGCATTTTGTTGAGTACTAGGTTTATAAGAAAATTTTTGTGTCATTTTGAAGATGGCGCTAGGCATCCGGAATAATACAATGCATGTTGGGTACGTCAAGTGTGTTCATTCAGCTATTATGAGAAAACCGACTCGGCAACAATGGAGTTGTCGCATGTTTGCCACTTGAAAGCACAGTGTGTCGACTTCGTGCCAAAGAAAACGGATAATCTGCAGTACAAGTGATTGTAGATTCTGGCCAATGAGTGTAACACTTGCACATAACAAACGCATTTCATGCGCATCACGCTGGCATGGATGGCTGTTGCGTGACGACGACTAATACCAACCAACCGGATAGCATTTATGTGCGTGAAGAGAATCACAGCAGGATCAGTGATAGAAGGTGAACAACAAGCAGCCGTCAATGGAGCAGAAAGCCAGCTTCCGCTAATGCGTTTGCAGACGGTGCTGATTCCCTTGTTATGGGCAATATTAATGGAAAAAAGAAAGACGTGTGGTTTAGGTGGTTAGCCACTGATCTCTAGGTTGTGCAAAGATTGCCTCAACAGCGCCAAATTTGTTTAGGCTTAGTGACAATGATCCAACCTTGGCCAAGCACTGATTTTGTAAATGTTTAATTAAAACAGTTGAGCAATTAAGCTCAGCAGAAAAAAAACATCGTCCAAGTACAATTTCAGGACCAACGTCATTTGTCACGCTGAAAAATTGATTTGATTGATATACTTGACTAGAATTCCAGTGCAGATGCTTTTAAAGAAAGTAGACGTGCCGTAATAAATCGCTGACTATGCCTTCTGTCTAATACCTTAAATTTGGCTGGCAAAGTATGAATGAAGCATCAAAATCACTCGTGAATACAAAGCGAAATTCACCTTCTTTTAAGTAACCGCAATTAGCTAGAAGTCTACGCATATTACCCATCGTGTGCGATTCAATTTTTGGTAAAGTTGAACGAACAAACGGTCACTAAGTTAGATTCCAGCTTCAAACCGCGACAACTTCTAATTTCTTGGCATTCGCGGCGATTCGTGGGCCAACAAACACCGATTTGTGGAACTGAAGTTTCTTTCAAAATTGAGCAGCGCTGTTTAAGTAGTGCTTCTTGTTGATGAGAACAATAAATTTCAGTTACATAAAAGCGCATTTGCCATTAACCTCAAACTGAAAACTCGCCAGGCATCCTGAAAACGATATTTTTTCCCCACAATTTACCACACCGCTACTCCTTGATCCCTCAACTCTCACGTTAGGTGATTTCTCGAATGCACATCCCAAACAGCAGCAGTGGCGTCGAGTCAGAATGGAGTTTCTGCTTCAACTCCAAACACTGTTTCAGTTTCGCAGCGAGAAAAGTTTGATGTGTCGAGCAATAAGCGCCCAAGTGGATCAGGTTCCAGAGTGCACACCTTCAGGAGCTATGAAAGTCTCCCGACTTAAGGTTATCGTAGTTTGAAGGCCGAAATTGTCGTCACTCCATTGGCTAAGTCAACAACCCCCTAAGATATCACTTCCGTGTCTAACTTCGAATTGAGCAAGACAGTTTTCTACATCGATACACTTGCCACCGTGTAGCTAGCCTGAACTTAACTAGACCCATTGAAAATGGGATGTCATATTTTGAAAACACTGCTCAACAAATCACTTTCCTTCCTTTTTAGGATCCATTTTGAGTAGCTTGCTGGTAGAAAATTATTTCTAAATCTGAAAAAAATGCACCGGCTACTGCCTTGACCTTTGATTACAATCAAGTCTTCAATGCAAGTCTTGGGGCAATTGTTGGCCTTGGTAACGACAAAACCGCAAAATTGTTTTGTGGGATTAAAAACAGAGTGCCACGCGACTCTAACTACATAGTTTAAGCTAAAATTGAGACAGAGGCAGCTCAAAAACTCGAATTCCGTACATTAATCGCGAGTGTGTTTGACATGGAATATACCTGTCTATTCATGGTTATAATTATAAAACTTTGTTGCAGTAAATAAACATTTTTTTTAAAAAATGTCTCATTTGCACACTTTGATGTCCCACCGAGACTGCATCCATTGTTTTGCATCCACTAGCACTGCCCACGAGCGCAAAGATTGTGCTCAATAAAGACTTCCCGGGTGTTTGGCACCGACGTGGAAACACCTTCCACAATCTCCATGTGGACAAACCACGGCGCGCCCACTCACATCCGTTCCATAGCGGTCGACTTGGCGTTTGCTAAAAAATTTGCCTGGACTACCACCAACGCTTCACACGCTTTATCGCTGCGCCTTGTCAGTGCAGGTTAATGCAAACTAAACAGGTGTCCACCAATTTGACAACAAAAGGCAGAAAAGGCAACTAAGCAGAATTTACTTTTCAAAACATATAGCAAAAGAGGTCCGTCGGTGTAAAACGAGACATTGGAAATAGATAAGAGAGTGGAAGAGAGGTGCACACGCTATCCTCTTTAGGTAAGTTAAAGAATCGAGGACCTAAGTAGTGGTGGGGGCAAAAGGTGAGTGTGCAAAACGAGATTAAGAATAGCAGTGCTATGGAGAGTACTTTGTACGATGGGTCTGCTGCCACCATATGTCCCATTTCTACAAACTTCCCTCATGAGGCGACTGATCTGAAATGAACAATACACATGCTTGTCAATTGCTATCCACTCCAACATGCAAATGGTGGCAAAAACGCGGCACATCCAGACAAGGTGAGTTGTCTGAAAGAGTTTAACATCACTTACAAATCCCACATAAAAGCATGTTATCGCGCCAGACGTCAAACCTCTACTTACCATCAACACGACGCATGTGACCCGCAACGTCAGGGTGAGGAGTAGAAGGTGGATGATGTTCTGAAAAAGGCGACTGGGGTGGCATACCGTAGGGGTCATATTGCGGATTCTGCGGTGTCATATATGCCGACGGTTGCAGTCTTGGTGCCTGCTCATGCAAACCAGAGGGCTGTAGTGGCATCGACTGAGAATTGCTTGAAGAGCATGGTAGGGAGAGCGGCGGAGCAGAGGGCTGCGAGGCACGCGTCGGCTGTCGCTGATGCGAGTAAGGAGAAGGCGCGCATGGTGAATATGAAGGCGGAGGCTGATACTGGTGCTGATAGTGCTGCTGCTGCGGCTGCTGCTGCTCCTGCAGCATTTGCTGCATTGATACCTGCAAGTAATTCACACTCGAAGCTGATTATAACCTAACGCAAATCTGGATTACAACCTAAACCGATGCAATAGAAGCGAATGAGCTGCTATCCGTCCAGCGTAATCAAACGAAAAAACTTTTCGAACGATAGTCTTCAGCAAGCACTAGACCACAGCACAGCTAATCACCAGTGAGGAGACGTTAGCGTAGGGTTTTGTAGTGGACTGACAGCCGCCCCGCGCGAGTGTGCGTGCATGAAGGCCCGTGTGCAGCGATGACTCATCCCCTTTTGTTATTGATTTTTGTCAGCATTCGCCTGTTACGCACGCGTGCTCATACGCACACAAAGCCACTTGGCTTATTCGACTCTAATAAACGGTCGTGTTCTCTGTCGCCTCCTTTTTCCTATCCTCAAGTAGCTACGGGCTGTTAACTAGAGGGTTGTAAGGTAGTGCTAAATCCTCTAGTCACTACAGTTTTGTACATTTTGCTGTGGTTGTGCAGCGTGCGGTGAGGTTTGTTGAGGGGGTGCCGGCAACGAGCGCTGCTGATTCGAGGTAGTTTAGGGTGTACCAGTCACGGACTGCTGCTGTAGCTGCTTCAACAATTAGATGCATTTAAGGTAACACAACGACGAAAATACGCTGTTGTAGCAACGACGGAGACAATTGATTGACGAAATAAAGTGTTTAAATGCATTTACCTAATGGAAAGTGCAATCGAGTGTTTTAGCTAATCGCGAATTTGGAAGAAAACGATCACTCCTGGAAGTCGTGGAGGTTTACTTAAGGTTTACCGGGACACATCAATGCAAGGTCTCGAGCGCAGAGATCTAGACCCTTGTTTAGCTCGTCAAAGACTTACGCCACACTCGCGTTAGAACACAACCTGCACGGGTCAGCACCTCAGTCGAAGGCCCAGCACGCCTTCAGACGCAGCCATGAACGCATTTCAGAGTAAAATACACTCGAAGGTAATTGGCCGAGTTTGGCGTGCTTCAATTAAATTATAGCATATTAATAAAATATGATCGCTACCTGTTCCATTGTCTGGCTAGGCCCATACGACGACATGGGCCGCGGAGATGTTATGAGATGCTGCTCCATATCCTGCTGTTGTCTCTGTTGATAGAAATGCTGCTGCTGCTGCTGCTGTTGGTGAGATGTTGGCGCGGGAGATACAGGTGAGGGATGCAGGCCAGGTGAAGACTGCGGATGCTGGGGCGAGGGCGTGAGAGGCAAGTTGACAGCTGCGAAGCCCGAAGGGGGCCAAGTTGGGGGTGGTGGCGGCAGCGGCGGTGTTTGAGCGTACACAACTGGCAATGGTGACTGCCGTGACTTCGGTGACGTTGCTCCTGCTCCAGCCGACGACATGATGCCTTGCGAATCACCCCTATGCAAGGCAGCTTGGAACATTTGCTGCATTTCTTGATGTTGCTGCTGCTGCTGCTGATTAGCCGCCATGTAAGCTGTTCGCGACTGGAATTGAGGGAACCTTTGGGAAACTGGTTTTCGCGAGGCCATTGGCGGTCTCGATCCGGGATAGCGTGCTGGTCGACAAGGAACACCAAGGTCCTCCATGCCTCCACTGAAATTAACCTGCTGCTCTTGTTGTTGTTGAAGGAAAAACTGGGGTCGCTGTTGCTGAGACATGATTCTACGGGGCGGGCATGCTGCAAGCATGGACTGTTCCTCGATTGAAGGTGAACAAGGGGTTGCCGAAAGTGCTTGAGATAGCACAGGTTCTGTGCTAGCAGTTGTTGTTGGTTGTGATGTGTGAGGTGATGGTGGTGTAGGTCCATCTGAGGCGAGGCCAACACTAGCACCACTACCACCGCTTCCGGTCGTCTCAAACTGACTCAATTGGGACACGATGTCAAAGGCACTCAACTCAGGCAGTTCCTGAGGCTCTGACTGAGGCTGCGAGACAGGTGTTGCTGACGCGAGTGGTGCAGCGGCAACAACAGTTTCCTGCTGACATGTCTGCTGAGAATCCTGTAGCCCCGGCGAGGCGATATTTTGAACATCCTCATCAAACATATGACGGCTTTGAACTGGGTGCTGCTCGTAACCAATTTCTGGCATGGGCTAGAAAAGGACACGACAATTGCTCAGCATAGGTGAATTCGCTTTTACTCTACAAAACAAAAAGACGGCTTGCCGCGCACTAACACTTACCCTGGGCGCCAATTCAATTTCCGTCTTCACATCCGCTCCAGACACAACCTGTTCTGCGCGTCTTTGTGGCTGTTCAGCAAATGTACCTAGATGCAGTGGCCCCTGGGCAGGTGGAACAGCGATGTGCTGCTTCAAGTCTGTTGGATGGTTGAAAGCATCGGGACAGGTGGTGCTACTATGAGCAACCCCACCGGAAGGTGCTGCATCTGGACGTGCAGCATCCTGGGTACCGACACTCATGTTTGCGAAATTGTCGGCTATGCTCAGAAAGTCGTCAACAAGCATGTAATCATTGACATCATCAAGGCCTAGGGATTGGATTAGGTGAGATTAATATACACTAGATTAGGAACACAAGAAAAACACACGATAAAGGAGCTTACTAGTTTGCATTTGAACGGTCGGTTCGACAGACCGATTCTGTGGTTGCTGTTGATGCTTTTGTATCTGGACGGTTGAAGGATGCGGATGTGGCTCGACCACATCACCACCGACACCAACGGAAGCTGACGGCACGTTGAATACTTCTTTCAATATTTCCTCAAGTTCTTCATCATTAAAGCTGTCAACCATTTCCTCGTCCTCGCCATACTCATCCTCGTCACCTAGAGTATCATCTTCCAATAGATCCGTAGCTGTACCAGCGCTGGCATGAAAGGGTGACTCATTGGTCCACAGCTGTTGTCGACTGGTCGAACCCGTATTTGGTGAGGCAAATCCACTCCGAGGACTGGCATTCTTCGAGGACTGTGTGCTATCATCCCAAACATCAAT